GACATCGAGAATATGGAAAAAATATCAAAAAGCTTTCAGTATTAGCCTTGTCCTCACTTCCTTTTACCAAACATTAAGTTAAACACACAAGGTCTGTCTTGGAAGCTTTATCTTCTGCAGTTAGCTTTGATTGTGATCATACCTCTATGTTCATAATATAGGAGCATCCCAGTCTTCACCATTATTGGCAAATGTCCACAGGCTGCAGGAATTCCTCTTCCAATGTGCCTCCAGAAAGCATCACCTTCTCATGATGAGATATTTAGTATTTGCTGATTAAGACTGGACTGGGTTTAGCTAAGCACAGACCTGTTAGGCTCGGCTCTCAGCAGATCACGGTCTCGCACGACTCTGATCAGGACTTCCAACGATTCAGGCATCCACAGTGTGGGAGCATATGTGTGAGGAAGAGCAGGAGAGAGGAGAAGGGAGGGGTAGAGAAACACAGAGAAAGAGGTAGAAAGAGAGAGGGGACGGGAGGAGTTGTGGTGATGCTGATGCAGTGTCATAGAGGAAGGAAATACCCCTGTATAAAACCAGCTGAGTAAATGGACACACCTATACCTGTATCTCTCCCAAATGCTTCTTTTCTCATTTCATTCCTCTTAAGCCCCTCAAATCTTCTTTCTTTCAGATACATTCACTTCTTTTTGGGCATCCTTCCCTCTCACTTTTCCACCCTATATATGCTGCCAACTCTCTCCCTCTCTCACAGCCTTTCTCTGTCTACATGTACAATCATGTTCTCTCTTTTTTCTATTTCTTCCCAACAGAAATGTTTTTTCTTTATCAGCAGTGTTACTGTGATTACACACACACACACACACACACACACACACACCTTGTTCCTCTATCCCTGTGGGAATATCTCATTGACATAATGCATTCCCTAGCCCCTTACCCTAACCTTAACCATCACAATTACATGGCTAATAATAATCCTTACCCTAACCTTAAGCTAATTGTAACCTGAACCCTAAAACAAAGTCTTCTTAACTCTCTGAAAGCAGTCCCCATCGGTTAGTGTGCATACAAGTTAAAGTCCCCATTAGGATATAAAAACATGAAACATGAAACACACACACATACACACAGAAACACCTTGGCACATCACAGCAGATTGGTGCAGTGAGGCTGCAGTACCTCTCTTCCCTTACCTTGGCTTGCCAGAGAAGCAACAGAGCTTAAAAACTTTAATTGGCTCTTAAATGGCATCTGGGCAAACCAATACATGCTGTATACATGCACACACATACACACACATACACGCACACACACACGCACGCACACACACGCACCCACGCACGCACACACACATACACATGCATCATCTAAATGTTGAAATTATTAGTGGCAAACAGCCAGTGCACTTTAACTCTTTGAAATGGAAACAATCCATTTTAATTGCATGCCTTGACTCTGCTGTTGAGATGCTTTCAGTCAGCAATATAACCAGCGCAACCGATACGCAAGAGCAAAATATAATGCCATGTTGGAAATTAGTTTTCAGGGTGCTGTCAGAAGAAAAGTGGCATCTGTATTGCACTGAATGGAGTTCAGCTTGCATTTGACTTTGATCATCAGTGTAATTACCAAGAAAGATTCTATGAAAAGGATTAGCAGTCAACTTATCTGACAAACTATCTGAATACTAAAATTGAATAGGTGCTTGTAGCACATTTTGTTCTTGTTTGTTGGCTGTTTACTAAATTTACTAAATATAAGTCATTTCAGGTTATCATTCTACAGTAAAATTATTGGGATACAAAGGATCATAGTGTAACTCATCTTAGAGGATGCTACAGCAGACACTGCCCATACAAATGATCTATAGGCAGTTTACATGCAGTCTAAAGAAAAGGTGCATATTGGATCAATTTACCCAAAGTCAATAAATTGTGACCCTCTCTTCTATTTTAATGAAGCTGCTCGAAAGTCTCTCTTACCATATGTGGGATGGAAATGATATATATACTATTTAAATAATACTAATTTATCTGTTCAATGAGACAAATAATCCATATTTCCATATTAATGTTTTACTCTTACTCATTTTTTCAAGTGGCTACAAGTTTTTTGGTGGCACCGTATCCCGTCTGAATGCTGAGTCATGCACATTTGTGAGGAAGCTCATATCTCAAACAATCTTGGTCCTTCTACAAAGTCCCATTCCATCTTATTCAGTCCTGTTGTATGCCAGTCACATTTCTCCCTTCCAGCGGAGTGTACTGTATCAGTAGCCATCAGTGGAAATGCTAGCTGAATACTGAACGCTGAGGTTAATGAGGGAACTTAACTGAACGCGGGCCAACTCAACCCACAAATGCATTGAGCCACGCTAAAAGGCTTTCAGGCTTTAAGCTACGGACAGGTACATCACATTTTCTGGCAGACTTCAAACTTGTCCAATTGATGAACAGCTTTCAATACATTATATGGAATCAGAGTGATCTCTCAAATAAATCTTACCACAACTTAACAGGTTCAACCAGCAAAAGGGCAATACAGCATGAAAATGCACTACAAAAAAGCAATACTTTCAGCGGAGAACAAAGCAACATACTTTATACACAGACATCTTTAACAACACAACAACCAACACAATGCAGTGCAACCAAACTCAGCACAGTACAGAGCCTCCAGTACACTGCTGAAGATGCAACACTCCTGAGGGTACGTGTTATTAAACTATAATTCAGTGCTTATGACACAAGGGGCAGCAGGAGGCAATTTGTTTACAGACTCAATAAAACATGCAGTAATATTTCTCTACCAGGGAAATATGTTGCTTTTTACTGTGTGCTCCCTTTCCTCTAAGAAACAAGTGAGCTTTAAGTTCACTGCCTATTCTGTCCAAAATTGACAAGTATAACAGCTTACAGTAGTTATTTCACTGCTTATATCGAGCATGTTGTTTCATTATGACATTATGACAAATTATCATCCTTCCTCTCAACAGTCAGGACAGTCCTAACATAAATTCGTTTGTTTGCCCCTAATGTTTAGGGTATATGTATACGGGTATAGGGTATATTTCACATCACTGTGATGAATGCACCACAAGCTTCAATGACCTTTCCTTTACAGTGCCATCCAAAGATTAGCCAGCCAAATACGCCTCAGCCAAAATCAATAACCCCCCCCCTTAACCATCAACAGCTTTAAAGATCAGAGACACCTTACCTCCATCGCTCCACCCAGCTCTTAAACGCCTGCTGTCCTGGGGAGTGTGTGAGTGGTGTTTTATCTCATGCAAAAGTAAATGCAAAAGACTGTTTCATACCAGCTTGAACAGAATATTAAATACTTCGGTCCTGTGATAAGCCTGACTAAGGAAAGGTTAATGGACTATCTGTCCCGCCGAGTGTGCGGATTAAATACTTTCAGGTTGTGGAAGAAACCACCAAGAACTATTAGAACTACATCTTAGAACGATTCATTTATGTTCAGACTAATTTCAAATGATTAATCTTACCACACGTATAGAGACCTTTACATGTTTTATATGTCTGAATGTTTTCTCTTGCAGTTTCTATCTATCTGTCTCTTCCTATCCCTCAATCAGATGGCAATCACTCTCCTGTTCTCTGTTAAGTCTCTAATACCACCTCCCTCTATCTTTTTCAATCTCTTTCTTGCCTCATGTGACTCCAGGCTCTGCCATTCACTCTCACTTTCACAGTCTCTCACAAACCGAATCCCACTTTGTCATCCAGGCTCCTACTTGCTGGGACAAAGTGACCCATTCATTTTAACTCGAAAATGTTTTAAATGCAACTCAGTCCAAATATTCATTAAAATTGTCTTATGGTATTTCTTGTGGGGGAAACTCTTGTGTTACTACTGTTCTAATTTATTGTTCTTTTCTCTTCAGGCTGCGAGTTGTTGCAGTGATGGTTACAAAACAGTGCAAATGTATCAGCTCTGATTAACGAGGATCTAATTGCTTCCATGACTCTCCATCCTTCTGTCTCTCTAATTATTCCCTCCACTTCTTTCTCACTCTTCTTTTTCCCCTCTCAGTGTCTCATCAGATGTGCGCTCTCATGCAGACTCTAGCACCATGCAAGAGAAAAGCTCAGACTACACAGTCTGTACGGAAGAAATTAATTGGATTGATTCCTCTCAATCGCCCAGGAGGTTTGCATAAACCCCACTGTAGATTTAATGTTTGAAAATAAATGCTTCTGAGGTATACATTAATATTTTGATGCAGCTTATGGGCTCTTCAACAACAGCAGGATAAAGTGCTCTGAGACATTTTGCAATATGGTGGGAATACTGACAGTTTCTAAACATGTGGGAGCGCGTGGAAATGCATATTTAATGTCACTCATGTGCTTGTACATGTTTGCGACCACTATGCCTATATTACTAAATTGGAAGGGTTCTTCAACATGAGAGGAGATGTAACGATAAGAAACTAATGAGGTCATTGTGGGTAGTGTGAGCTTTCTGCTGGTTTTGGGAAATGAAGGCTTTGAAGTCTCATCTAATTATCATAACCCTGGTACATCCACACATACAATATATTATTTTGTGCTATGGGCAAGATAGTAAGTAGTCGAAGTCAGAGCCCCTCAGCTCTGGAACGCCCTGCCTGGGAACCTGAGGCTTGCAGGATTGGTGACATCACTTCTCCAGACATACTTTACTTTATATTTTAAATAGCTTGATATAATTTGCCTCTGTTTTAAAATGTTTATAATTTGTGTTCAACCACGTAGCATTTGATAAGTGCTGTATAAATAAAGTTTATTATTATGATTATTATTATTATAAGTATACATTCTTTTGAAAGTTTCTTCATCTTTATTCTGCCTTAATGAAAGTAACTAAGCGATAGTTAGTTTGTATTTGATTCTTGTAAAGCACTTTGTAAAGTTGGTTTTAAAAATTATGTATAAATAAAGATTGTTATTATTATTTATTATTATTAATTACGATAAAACTGTAAAACCTTAGGTCGGGTCTGTGAGTAACCAGTGGAGGGCAGTAAGGCCCATTTTCAACAAAGCCACATGAAAGAGAAGAAGAGCGACGTTTCAACACAACATAAGTGAAACTATGGCAAATGACAAGGTCGGTGTTCTCAACTTAATATGCTAACTGAACATTGAAGACACGTTACTGTATTATTATAACAGCCCGCCTAACTTACATTGTCATTAACAGTCAACAATTAGCGTTAGCTGCTAACGTTAGATGATGAAGTAATACAGTTCGCAAGCTATCATAACGTAGCAATTTGGTGTTGGTTAGCTTAGCTTAGTTAGCGTTAAGCTAAGTAGTTATCTTAATTAAGCTAGATTTGTTTGGGTCGTTTTAAATAGATTTAACGTTACAGTGATAGGAACGCATCAAACATTAAACTGATGGTTAACTGGTAATGTAACGTTACATTAGAGTACTTACTGTCTAGCTAACGTTAGCTAACTTGGTAAGAACTTTGATAATGAGACCAGCGGTAACGTTTGCTTACCTTGATGCTAGAAGGATTAACTTAGGTCCCTCTTTCAGAAAGACATTGTCACCATCCTATATATAATCCATTACTGGGGAAGATTTGTTTCTAATGTCAAGTGGGGGACAGGTTTGGTCCATACCCTCAAGATACTTCACATCACAAACAAAAGTAGAGTCGTCTGTTTCAAACTTCTCCATCGATGCTAACGTTACCCAGCAAAATATTATTTGCAAAGACTAAGAACTGACATTGACCTTAATTGTTCTTGGACTTCAATGTGAAACAACCATACACTTATTTCGGAGCTGTCATTGTTCTGCTAGTTTTTGTCATAATACACAAGTGACAGTGTTAGGAAACCCTGGTCAGTGACACTGACCTGTTGTTTGTTTTGTCTTTTTGTGTATTCATGCATGTGTGCAGAGTCCTCTGGGCCAACTCAAGGACCTGGTGGAGCTCAAGGACCAGCTGGAAGACATTCAGAAAAGGGTGGAGGATGAGATACAGGCTGGGGTTCCTCCAGTAAGGCTGCCTTGAATTATTTATACAGGGCAGGCATTTACTAACACATGTGAAAACTGATTGTATGCAGATATAAAACCAGTGGTCAGACAATCATGTACAGTAACAGGTCTAATCTCTCCTGTCCTTTCCTTCTTAGGGAGGCAGTCTGCTGGGTTCTCCTTTCCTGAAGGGTTTTTTGGCCGGGTACGTTGTTGCAAGGCTACGCTCTTCAGCATTGATGGGTGTTGCTGTAGGAACCTGTACAGGAATCTATGCAGCACAAAATTATGCTGTTCCTGACATTGAAAAAACCGTCAAAGACTACATACGCAATCTGAGAGGAGGTAACAAATAAGAGAAAGAAAAGAAAGGAGGAAGAGAGACATCTACAAGAAGAGGGCGCCAGTTCAGCTGCATACGGGAACAGATATGTATATCAAAAGCTAAAAACTTTTCAGTAGTCACAAATTCTAACATAGAAACTGTTACTATAGTAGAATCATTATAGCGGCTATAATTTTTCTGACCTCGACCCTATGCCAACATCCCAAAATGTGTCGTCTTCTTTGTTGTCCTCTGCCCTCTAGTGGTCAGAAATTCAATTATAGCAGCCTTAACGAATATGCACTATGTTTGCTCAGGGGATGATAGAGCATGTAAAAACTGTCTCAGCTCACATCTCATGGTGCTCTTCGGTGTAAACCTATCAAAACCCTTCATGGGTCTTGTTAGTTTTCACATTTTTTGCAGGTGTCAGAGCAAAGTATGTGGTGTGGTGTGATGTGTCTTTGCAGGCACAGCACACCCCTTAATGTGATTATAGGTCAATTTTTCACTTGGTAAACACTTTTGTTTTTAAATTACAGTCATAACTATTTATAGTCATGAATAATAACTTAAGGTACGCTTTTGAGAATTTTATAAACCGTATAATAAGTAAAAATGACTCCAGAAGTTACACACTGTTCAAACATAAGGAAAAGTATTCCTGGAAATGTATGTAATATTTCTCTATATATTCCACCTCACACTGCTGAAAATGTATTTCAGACTCCAGTCTGCAAGAGCTGGTAGCCTATCAAATGAAAATGTATGCCAAAGTGAACTTTAACTTTGCTTAAATGTTTTTAAAAATTGCACTTGGGTGTTTTAACAAAACAGGGAAGTGTGTGTTTAAGTATTTTATGTAATATATATATTAGAGTGCCTACTCTGGTCTGGACTTTATTATCATCTCATGCCATGTGTGCAATAGCCTTTCCTGGTGGGATTTGACTGCCTATTTCATATGCTGGAAACTAGTTGATCTTTTGCACTTGTATGAATTGTAGGAATTTAAAGCAACTTTATTTTGTTCCACAGAAATCAATGATTTGGGGGGGGGGGGGGGTCAAACATATTTGAATTCAGATTGAGGTCATGTTCATTTTAGTTTTTACTTTAACTAGAAAGTGTATTATAAAACAGTGTGTGCTATGTGTTTGGTAACTGGAAACCAGGAACAACTTGTGCCTATTGACAATCATTGTGTTGCTGTCTTCGTACTGCATGCTCTTCAATTGCTATCTATTATGTTTTTGCATGTTTTCTCTTGTTTTATAAGTAATACCTTTCTTTAAAACTTAATTTACTCTGGAATATAGAATATGACGGGTCCATTGATGGTGCTTTGATTAACTGGCTAACTGTCTCGTCATCATCAATGCAGAAGTATTCAACATTCAACTTAACAGTTTGAAATTCCATTGTGATGTTGTAAAAGAAAACCACAAAACTGTCTTTAAGAATTTATTTGGGTTGTTCAAATAAATGGGGACAATACAGTGTACAATTGTCTCAAAACATTCCTGGTCCTGTGATGTTTCAGTGTTTTATTAAAAAAAAAAAATTATTTCATCCCCATAACGTTAGCCAAACATTCAAAATTCAAGTGACCACAATGAATTTCTTTAAATTAATGTAAAGGGGCAGTGGACAGATTGTTTTCATTTACATGTTTCCAAACATTTGTTCTTCATAAAAATATATTAAATAGTTTAATAATTTATTAAGAATTCTGCCCACACTCCATTGTATATTTCCCCTTAGTCCATGCTGTTAATTCTATTTTTTTCTGCTCTTTACAAAGTTCCTATCGTAGAAAATTGGTTCTTGTTAGCAAACGAACATGGGGAAAAAACTGAATAAAACAACATTAAGTCTGTAAAACAAATCCCTAACTTTTACCAGCCATTTAAAAAAACTGAAAGATGATATATAATCAATACAAAAAGTCAGCTCTCTATTTATTGGTTGCAGATGAGTTCCAATAAGCTGATAGCAAGCAGATAAATGGTTATAATATTGTAAGATTGCCTTGAGCACTATATAATACGATGGTGATTATAAGTTGACAAAGTTGTAGCAAAGTCATGATTTCAAGTTGAACCGTTGCTGGTCTTTGGAGGAGATTTCACCAGCTTCAGTTACCCAAGAAACAAAACAGATGATGGGAAAAAAAGCAGTTAATTCAACATTTTAGCAGCAATATAAAGAAGTTTCCCTTTAAAAACATTCTAAATGTATTTAAATATTCAACATTTTTAATTGGACTGAATTAAACTGCATTGAGACATACAGTACTGCTCACAGATATTTTTTATATGAATACCTATATAGTGAATCAGAGGAACACCATTTGCATACTCACCACAGTATCACTCAACGATATCAGGCATAGTCATCACCTTGCTCAGGCTGCCTACAAAAACAGAAACTTGACTGTCAACAACATTGTAGCTTAAATCAAGCTTTCAAAATATGTGAATAATTAGTGTTTTAGATTTTTTTAAATGTGCATCTGGATCCAAATCTGCATCAAAGTAAAAACAGTGACAGACAACAAAACTAAATAAAGTATTTAACAAATATTCTTGTTGAATTCAAAATTAAATTGTTGTTCCTTTGCCTGATCAGAGTTTTTAATTTTTTAAGATATCTTGCTAATTACAAAAAACAAGCAGGACTGAAAATCAATCTTCTAGGTGGAGATAGTAACATTAATACACAAAAACAAGATTAGATGCATACTGTGCAGTATGGAAAGCTGTCACAAAATGTTAGGTACTAGTGAAAAAGCTTTCTGTTTTGTGCCATTGAGCATGTTTTCCATGAAATCAAGGTCTCATAATGATTTACTGTTAGGAAAATTAAACTTGACTGAAGTACAGGTTTTTATTTAAACTACTACATAAATTACAGCATAAAAAAGAATCAAATCTGACACATAATGTTAACATGTTTCCTGTTTTTTTCAGTGTGTGGTGCGGTGACCACCAAAAGCTATTCTTAATCGTATTTGGTGACCAATTGTCTTGTCTCACCAGTGGCGACAGAAGTATGGCAAAGGGTCGGTCCGTTGCGCAGAGAACCAGGGATCTGGTCCCCGTTGGCTGGGTTCACACACCAGCATTGCTTCATAAAGCACTGCTGGGCCAGGTAGAGGCCGCGCTCGTCACAGGCGGGGCGGAAACCAGGCACCGGCAGAGCCTTCACACCAGCGGCCTGCAGCTGGCAGTCAGTGCTCTGCAGAAGGGCTGGTGAGAGGAGAGGAGAGTTAAATCACCCTTTTCTTACAGAAAATTGGAGGAATGCAAATGATTCATTCATACATTGGATATATGTACATAGATGAATACAGTAAATATATAAAGAACATACTAGGGTTTTCTGGGACTCCAGTGGAAGCCTCCTGCAACACAATCAGTGAAACAAAACAGAAAACTTGAGGAAAACAATATGACTTCATTCCACAAGAGGGACAAGTTAAAAACATTAGTGTCACAGTATGAAGATGGATTTTTAATCATAGCATTAAACTCAAACAATATACTTGCACCTCAGTCATAAGAGGCTAGAGACTGACTGATAAAATGTCTTGGATGCTTTGTGAGATGACCTTAGCTTATCAGTATCAGCGAATTTGCAACAAAAACAAAATTGCAATAGAGAAACAAAAATGATTTGTGTAAAAAAAAAAAATCAACCAATATATAATTATGGGATTTTTGAAACTCAATTATTAATTTCAGCCTAATTTTACCTCGTCCACTGAGACATCCATTACCTCGGGCAGGGCGTTCATGGGTACGTGCATCCGCATGGGCACGGCAACTACAGACAGAAAGAGAAACAGTGTGTGTAAGTGGTAGAGGAGAAAAGAGATATTTTGAGGAAATGAAAGTGTGACCCCAACACAGATACGTGGAAACTTGAATCCAGTCTATTCTGAACTTCAAGCCAAAAAAGACCAATACAACACAGATTCACCTGAGACTGCTTGACCTGCTATTCTGTCCATTTTTTTAAATTTGTTATAAGACTTAATGTTTGTCCTTCCATCCAGATGCACATGCAACTTTTGGAAATTCCCATCAGATCATTGTCAGAGCCACTTATGGTTCAAATGGCATTTAGCTTAAGAAAAAAGAGGAAGAACATGATTTGGTTTGCCTTTCCCCAGCACTTATTTATCATAAATCTAATGAGTAATATTACAGGTTGCTGGGGATTCCGCAGACACTTTCTCTAGTTGCTCACAAGTTTGTTGACAAATTAATTTTATCCTACTTTTGCAGCAAAATACATTCTGCTAAATGCCAACAGGGTACAGTATATCTCTCCTAATCTGAAGTGAATTTGGCCTCCTCACCAGATCTTCCCTTCGTCAGCTCTGCCTTCAGGTTGTTGCTCTGCTCCTCCAGAGACTTGATGTCGTTCCTCTGGCTGAGGAGGAAGTAGGCGATCATCGCCTGGCCCACAATCAGGACACAGGCCAACAGGGTTATACCTGCCACTTTATAGGCCCGGGAGGAGCGGCCACTGGAGAGCAAGATGAGAAAGGAGGAGATGAGAAACATGTTTAATTTGGAAGACTTGTTGGACATTTACATACTGAAATGGAAATCAGAAGGAGAAATAAAGAGTGGCAGACAGTGGAAAATGAAAAGAGACATGGAGATGTTTTAATATGAATGGGGCATAATCATCAGCCACTTTAACTGTGCAAGGATCAGTACTTCTGGAATCTTTCTTGATTAATTGTATGACTTCAAAAAAGGTTTTAAATAAAAATAATAATGGGAGAAAGAGATGAAGAGAGACAGACAAGACGAGGTAGATAGGTAGCAGAGGACATTGTGGAGGCTGATCCTTGCCTGAGAATTAGGGAAATTCTTTTATCCTGGAACCTGAGCCATGGTATGTACTGTAGACACTACGTCACCACCAATTCATAAAATCAGCTGTTGCCAAGCAGACACTTAAATGAAAGTTGAGGAATTTTTTGGATCTGCCTTTTACCCTTTCTAGTTCACGCCAAGGCCTTTTTTTGGAAATTCCCATTAGTCCTCTCTGAAACTAATTTTAAATCTCAGCTAACTGATGTGTCCATTCTGTAATGAGTTGATGCTAAAATCATTAAATGCAGTCTTGTTTGTAAATGTGCTATTAAATATATTTTTAATTGAAGTGTTATTTACTTATGAAAACAAAACAAAATAAATGTCAAAGATAGTCAAAGAGATACATAGAGTTTTAGTCATAGAATTTAGATTTACAAACCATTTAAAGGACCATACCCAAGTTTTGGTGGATTTCATTCCCTAGTTTACAAGTCCACGTATAATTTACATTCCTGTTGACAATTTCTAATTATGTAGAGGGTTTTTTTTGCATTTTCCTGGCTTTTCACACAGCCATTAATTCCCATTGTTTTGTATAATAGAAAAATCAATAAGTAGACACATGAAACTTGATACAGATTGGTAACGTTTGTTGTTTGGTAATGTTTTTGTAAGTGTGGACAGATTAGAAAACTGCGTATACTTGTTCACTGTGATGGAATCCATAGTCAAATCAAAGTTTCAAGAGTGTACTGACTGATTTGAATGGAGATAAATGGAAATAAGTGGCTGACTGGTTAGCAAAAAATACATTTAAATAATCTGAATTACAAAATGGATACCTGTATACAAAGTTTGTAGTTAATGGGTTAAAACATGCACATCAGGAAAGTCTCCAGAAGTAATTTACAGTAAATGGTTAACTTTGTGGGCACCAGCTTTTTGGGCCTAGTGATGGGATCCCATCAAGACAGCAATAACAAGAACACACACAACACTTACTCTTGTCCTGGAGGGATATTGACAGCTGTCTGCTGGCTGTCAGCTCTGATGAGAGGCTGGTTTTGGGTCTCGGGGTCCGCCATCTTCACACAAACACAAACCTGTGGGACATATATTCATATTCACATTAATGTTTAAACGCACAGTATATGATGCTACTGACACAAAACACACACACTTACACACACACATACACTTGCAGTAATCCTACACAAAGAAATAATAGGCCTACCTTATTTCAGGTCAGGGGTCAGTCTGTTTCACAAATATCAATGACAGAATTCAGTGAAGATTTTACCTTTAAGGCTGAAGAGAGACAAGGAACTGAAAGCAACAGGCGGGGAAACCCATACTCACAACCCGAACAACCAAATTCTCTGGCTTTTTTTCCAGACCGAATTTCTGATTGGTTCTTCATGTTGACGCATCATCTGTTACTATGGGCAGAGCATAGAGCTATTTAGCAAGCACCAAACAGCTGGTTGAGAGGTTTATTATGCCTTTATACTTTATATCTTCATATTGTTTAAATTTATAATTCATGAAATATTTGTTGACAGATAAATAACTTGATAATGATAAGAATGATTAGGAAACAAATTAAATGTGTTAGAAGAAATAACTGAGACCATGTTGGATATATGTACCCTGGGTTATGGATTTAATATAGAAAACATAATTACTCTATTACTATTATTAATAGTAGTGTTTTGGTATTTGTAGTATTTTTATTGTATTTCAAGTACTATTATTTCTGCACCTGCAGTGCAATTTCTGCACTGTGGGTTCCTCTAGAATTAAATTCATAATCACTGCAGTTGAGGATTGATAAATCCTTAAATCACTGTCTTGAATTTGTTTTTGCCCATGACACACAGCCAAAGACCCAGTTTTTAGGTCCAACAATGTCCAGCAGACCATAGCATTTAGTTATCAAGTGTTTTCCAAGGAGTAAGTGACACAGGGAGAGTACAGAATAAATGGTAGACTTTATTAATATTTTAATACACATTTCAAATAAATTTCAACATGTTTTACTTAGAGAGCTGCTGTGATCATGTCTTCTTACCACTCTGTACATCTAAATAGGCTAGCAAATGTACAAATATGTAGATTTTGGGCCTTGCAGACTCATTAGGTCTACGGAATAATTTTCTTTTGCTGTAGCTCTTCCACAATTATAGCATTTCCCATTTCCTAAATATTTTGAATTTTTTACCTGGACAGACTTTAAAGCATCTGGTGAATACAGCCCTGCTCCTCACAATATGGACAAACAAAACAAAGTATCATGCAACCATTGAGCCATGACAAGTATCTAGGTTTTTATTTGTTTTGAATTTGACTTTTGAGGAACAAAAAAGGTAACATCAAATGAAGATACAATGGAAGTCTGATGTTTGCAAAGCAGCAGCTAATTAAAGGAAGTGAGAGTGCAATGGGGGAAATGGCGATACAATTACAGTAGCCTAAGTCAAAAACAACTTCCTTGTGATCAGGTTTGAATGCACTGTGGAAAGGTTTTAGGTGTTTTAGGTGTAAATGCTGTAAAGTAAGAGTGTTTACAAAAATAGACATGTTAATATATATTTATCAATTAAAATACAAAGTGAGTGAACAGAAGACAATCTAAATCAAATCAATATTTGGTGTGACCGCCCATATCCTTGACGAAGATCATTTACATACAGAACATACTGGGATGGGCTGTTGGTGCTGATTTTAAAATCACTATTGGGATAGTCTCAAAACTTCTTGATTTATGTGAAACCAAAATTTATCAAAACCTTTTGGTTCCCTCCCCATTTTACTGCCGATCTAGCTACTTTCACTCCAGTCCAGTAAGTGGCGTAAGTTGCCTGTAAGGTTGTGTGAATGTTTGTGCCCTTTAAGACTTTTGGATGTTGTCATTGGTTGAACTCATACTGTTGCAGGAAGCAGCCTACTATTTACAACCTGCTTCCAGCGGAGTACCTACAAATAATTTGAGCATTTTCAAAGGTATAAATGTAGAGTTGGTTAGTTGGGGTTACTGCCGTGCGGGAAAAAGTGGCATTCATGAATATGCTTGTAGCACCATTTAGCCGGCTAGCTTTGCTAGCGTTAGCGTGAAGCGCCAAATTTAAATAACGTCTAACCTGAACTTGGGCATGATAGATAGCAAACGTTTGCACGTTCGTTGTTTACTTCATTAAAGTACATGTTGCATCTCCGTTAGCAAAGATAATATGTTCTTGCTTTCGGTTTAGCCGGAACGATAGTTTACTAGTTAACTAATTGGCATGTAGCGTTAGCTAGCTTAAGTTCACGTTAATGTTAGCTAACTGAGTAACATTTACCATTACATGTCCACTGGTTAACGCCAACACTAATGAGCTGACTACATTTTACATACATACACTGTTAATTGGTCAGTTAGCTAAACTAACTAAATACATTTTATGACAGATGATGCGAAGACCCCGAGCATCAACTGCCAAAGCTGTGAAGTTACAGGACGGAGACATGGACACCGACCTGTAAGTTAATTTTTTCATTCACTGTTTTTTTTTAAAGGATGCAGTTTGCAGCTCACCAGTACATCTCAGGGCTGAAAAAGAGACAAACATAACGTTACTCATACTGACATTGTTAGATTGTGCAGTTAAGAATCTCTAATCCATTAGAAACACTAGCCTATGTTTACAGTGTTGAAGGTGACTAAGTATGCAGTATTCAACAGAAAGAGCTAGATCACAGTTACAGTATTAGAGCTGATTTTTCACTTTGTTCCTACCATCAGGTCCTTTTCCCAGACAATGAGTAGCGATGAGGACAGTGAGGAATGGAGGCCACCAGAGTCAAAGCCAAAAGTCCCTAGCAAGACTGCCAAAGCCCCTGCAGCCAAGGAGAAGAAAGTAGCTGTGAAGAGAACTGCTAAACCAAAGGAGCCGAAAGCACCCAAGCAACCTAAAGTTCCCAAAGTGCCTAAAGATCCGAAGCCAAGAGCACCACGCAAACCTGCAGCAGAGCGAAAAACACAGGCCGCTAAAGTTCTGAAGGGTACTTGTGCACCTGAGTTGGCTGGAACAAAGAGGAAAAAAATTGATGAAAAAAAGAATGATGAGGCTGGAGAAGACAAAGGAGATAAACTAACAGACTGTCCAGAGCGAGAAAGGACTGAAGAGAGTGGGCCAAGTATAAGAATGAAGGAGGAGGTCAGACTGATGGCCATTTTAGTTAGAGTATATCTGCATACACATACACACAAAAGAAGATGAAATAGAGCTGGGAACAATTATAACCACAGGTCTGTTTACTGCTAGTTTATGACTAGACTTAAATGTTAGAATGTATGGTAAGAATATATGTGTATTACTGAACTATGCTTACTGATATTGCTGTATGTGAAACAGTTAATAGAATAAATCCAGTTACTTTCCCTGAATTGTCATATTTTCAACACTTTATAAAGACAGCAAAGCTCTTTTTATTAACATAAACACATATCCCATCACTAATCTCTGATTGTTCTCAGTCCTTTTTTATTTTTTGTCTTATCTTGTGCTGTTTTTCTTTTTTCTTGTAGAGGGTGTCATTTATCGTGTCAGAATCCCACCAGGCAGACACATGGGCAGGAGAGGGATCATCACTAGCTGGGCTTAGAACAAAGAAAGAAGAAGTAGAGGAGGAGGATTTCACGTTTGATGAGCCCTGTCAAAAGAAACAGAAGACCAGTGGTGCCTGCCTGGGCCAACCAACTGCTTTACCATCATCTGAAGCACAATCTCTGAGGAATGACCTCAATATGAACTGGGACTTGATAGAGGTATTGGAGGATTTGGTGGTGTGTTTTATGTGTGAAAGTGTTTGTCTATACTTTTGTCAGATTACTGGCAGACAAACAATGCTAAAATGTGTGGACAGTTTGTAGGTGACCCAATGGGGCAATAATGAAACTGCCACCACCACTTCTTGGTTAAACACTTTTGGACACTAGGACACTGTTGCCAACATGACAATGAGCTGTTGATGGGTGGCATTACTCTTTCTCCATCCATTGTCTTTGGATTACTGTCTGTCCGCAGATTACAATTACAACCTTCTGATTTACTGGACATTATAGGACATAATGGGCAATATCGTGGACATAATCACTGAACATTTTTATTTAACCGTACACACATACCTGTTCTTGAGATTTGATTTTTGAACTATATGCCTCTTTTCCTACATATCTATATGTAACACATCAAGAAGCAACATTACTATTAACCTACAGCTGGCCATATGTATATTTGGGATTTTGAAGTGTGTTCTGTGTGTTTACTAATATTTTAAAATTTGCACATGTATTGATATTTTATATTTCCTACTTTGTACTACAACTGCTGCACAACAATTTCCCTTGGAAAAAAATAAAGTCCTATTTTATATTTAACAAAGTTAAAAAAAAAAATTCTTTAACAAACTTGTTTTGACAGTTGGGTCCCCTGTGTAGACTAAAATGCAAAGAATGGGATGACATGCACACTTATATCACTGAATTGCTAAAGCCAGAGACTCAAAAGAGAAACCGTGAAGATATTAGATATTAACAACAGACAAACAGTTTTCTTGTTAATTGGTGGTCATATGGGCAGTGTCTTACTGCCTACTTGCTTAGATAGATGTACTGTTTGAATATCTGTGTGTGTCCTTCCCCTTAGCTGCTGTCCATCCTGACATGTGTGGAGCGATGGGTGTGTGTAAATATCATTGCGCTGCTTCGTGAGGAAAACACGGTGCCATTCATGGTGCGCTACCGCAAAGACATGATTAACCACATGGACGCCGATGCCGTCCGAGATGTCCAGCTGGTATATGAGGAGTTATGGTAGGCAAATGAAACATCTTAAGAGAAAAAAATTTAAAAATAAAACTAACTAAGACACCTTATTACCCACTTATACCTTTGCCAGCATTAAATAATGAAATGCATGTAGAGGCACAATTAGATACAAACTTTTATATATTTACAACTGTAGCCATGAAATGTTTTGTTAAATGAGCTGAAAAAGATTGGGTTAATTTTGAGACCGCATTTCTGAAATTGGCCACTAGATGGTGCTATTGGTCAAACTTTGAGGCCTGAAACGAGTGTTGTGTATCACTTGTGTGCTTCTGCGTGCTATAATTGTGCACTATATATAATGCATTTCTTTTTGTATATTTGTGTATGTGTGTGTGTTTCTTCAGCTCTCTTGCCAAGAAGACTCAATCTGTTATTCAGACCCTGAAGAAGGATGGGGTTTTGACAACTGAGTTGGAACAAAACCTTAGGAGCTGCCGATCAGCTGATGAACTGGATCATGTGGTCAGAATCACATTTTTATTCTAAAGTAATATCTATCATTTAAATGTGATTCAGAAATCTCATTCGTGTTTGCACTATTATTTATCCACACCTGAAAGTGGCTCTTATACTCTCCTTACGATTCATCACAAATGCTTCTGTTTGTGTCTTTAGTATTCCCCCTATAAGAAAGGCAGTAAGCTGACGAAGGCTCGCAGGGCCAAAGCACTTGGCCTTGAGGTGGCAGCCACTACACTGATCAACTCACCACACACTCTGGATTTAAGGGCATGGGTAAAACCTGGTACTGAGGGTAAGACACAGTTTTGTAGACATTAAAATAAATGTAAACCTGAAGGTTAACATTATGCTTGGAGAGGAACCTCCTGGACCTGTTGGGCAATCTCATGAAAAGAAGATTTTTTTCATTTAAAAGATCAGATTTGGAGAAATTACAATCACAAATGATTTATTATGCACTGATTTTGAGCGCTTTAGGATTTTTTTTTCAGTTTGAATCAAATTGTTAGGATGTACAGATTCAGGTATACACAAGAGGCCCTACTCTTTGGATCAAATTTAAAGCTAGAGAAGGCCACAGATTTTAGGATAGTGGTGGGCGACAATGAGGCCACAGCCAAGGAATCTGTCAATTGCTTAGGCTGGGTCTTAGACAATCATTTATTAGGAGACTGCATGGCTCAGATGGTGCTTACTAAAGTTAACCAAAGAATCATATTTCTGGCTAGAATCTCAAATTGTTTGAATAGAACAGCGCTAGAGACATTGGCAGTGTCCTTCATCCGGTGTCATTTTGATTATGCATGCCTCTCCTGGTATACAAGTGCACTTATGATTCTTAAAAAGAAGCTGCAGACATCGCAAAATAAATTTGTGCGATTGGTCCTTAAACTTCCATCTACGACACAACTTCCGCTCATTTGATCAGCATTAAATGACTGCGGGTTGAAGAGCGAGCTTCACAAATCCCAATATTAGGGAATACCATACTTACCATACCACAAGAGGGAGTACAACTGATTTTGTTCCCTTGAGGTTTAAGAGTTGTATGGGGAAGGACACTTTCCTGTATTTCCAGATGCTATTATGTTGAATGGGCCTCCGATGAGCATTAAGATGATCAACTCTTTAGTTAGTTAAGTCCTTACTAAAAAAATGGCTGAGTGGCCGATAATTATAATTATAAATAGCATGAAATGTTGTCAGTATGCTGTTGTTTATATCCTTTATATTCTTTATACTCCTTTATATTCTTTATACTGATGATTGCCGCAGCCAGCGGCAATCATCAGTATAAAAATTAAAATTTTTATATTAAAATTTTTATATTAAAATTTGCAGATGATTCTGCTATTGTTAGTCTCCTCTCTTCTGAGGAAAGTGATCATGGTCCTGTTGTTGATGATTTTGTGCTCTGGTGTGATAGGGTATTCCTTCAATTAAATGTAGAAAAGACAAAGGACATGCTGATTGATTTTAGGCGTAAGTCATCAACTCCTCAGAACACTACCATCAATAGGCAGATGGTGGGATTCGTAGAAACAAGTATCTCGGCAGTTTGATTGACAATAAATTGAATTTTAATTCCAACACTGAGATGCTCTGCAAAAAAGGCCAACAAAAACAAACAAACAAAGTTTCATGTTGATAAAACCCTCATGACCCTTTTTTATAAATCATACAGTGAGTCTGTATTAACATTCTCTGTAATTTGCTGGTATGGTAATCTCACTGTTAAGGCCAAAACTGCTCTTTCCAATATAGTGAAGGTCAACAGTAAAATTTTAGGCGTCCAGCAGTGTAGCCTCACTGACCTGTATAATAGACAGGTAATTAGGAAGGCCAAGTCAGTTATTGCATCATTTGGAGTTTCAGATCTTGCCTTCTGGTTCTCGGTTCAGATTACCCCCAGTAACGAGCGATAGATACAGGCACTCATTCTTTCCGAATGCCATCTCTTTTCTAAACTCAGTCCGGAGAAGTAGATAGAGTTAATAATTAAATAGTGATGGGGTTGTTATAACATGTATAGTACTGATGTTGATGATGTTGTTGAAGTGATGGTGATTGTTATGGAAATGTTCCCCTGTGTTGCAGTCTATTATTGCTATACTGTTTTATGATGAACATCGTTAGATGTTTCTTTTTAACATATGGTTGTTGAATTGGAGGCCTATTTATTTATTTATTTTTAGAAATGGAGCACCTCATTCTGTAGCGCTTATCTATCTATCTTCTAAATTCTCTGTTGTACAACCAGAGCTTTTAACATTTAGTATTTAATAATAATAATAATAATAATCTTTATTTGCAGAGCACTTTTCAAAAACAAGTTACAAAGTGCTTTAACAAATGTAAAGACAATAATACCCAAGAGACAATAATACAAAAACAATACAAGATAAAAGCATGAAAACAAAAGACGTTTAAGATAAATATAAAATTAGTAAAATACAATAAAATAAAAGGGATAAAATAAAGTGAAATAAGATCGGGAAAGGCTCTCCTATAAAAGTATGTTTTAAGAAGGGACTTAAAAGAGTTCACTCCGTGTGTGTTTTTGTGTGTCAGGTCTCTCATCAGTGGAAGAAGTGGCAACAGGTGTAGAGCACATCTTGGCTGATATGATAGCCAAAGACCCTGAGACACTCACCTACGTGAAAACATTGTGAGAAGATGTTCATTGTAATATCCACGTTGGTCTGTGTTTTCTTGATATTGAAACAAGAGCAACTTTTACTCAATACATTGAAAATGTGTGTTTCTCTCTTACTGTGTCAGGTGTGAAAACAGCTTTGTGACCATCCAGTCCTCCGTGTCCAAATCGGCACTAAAGGAAAGAGAGCAGGAGAAGTCTGTCCAAGGTCACAAAAAACCAGGGGCCCCGCAAAACAAAAACAAGGACATCGACAAGTTCCACCTCTACTTTGACTTCACCTGTAACATCCAGCGCATCCAGCCCCATCAGGTAACAAGGGAGCATATCCCTCCCTCCGGCCTTCCTTCTTTCCTTCCTTCCTTCCAATTATTTAACAACATTTTAAGCAGTGACCTGCAGAATAGAAGTTTTGTTACTCATATGTTGTAATTATATGATACCACTTCAATTTTGTAGGAGCACTGGAGCAGTCAGGACTTCAGTGTGTAGCCTATAGGTTAGCCCCTGGGTTGTTGTCATTGATGTGTCTCCCAACCCTTTGGCTATTACCAAGTCACCGGGAAAAGAAAAACATTAATTATATGAAACTGTAATATGTTTGATATGAAGAGTTTACGGATGATTTAATACAACTGTTACCACAAGTTGGAACAAATACAGTACGAGCAAGCAGCTTAAACAGAGAGCTAAATCTTACATTTTCAGCGTACTCGCAAGCCATGAAGTGAAATTTGTAAGTGAAATAGACAAATCTGCAAATACATGGGAATTTAAAAGTGACATTTTACACATCATTGTATTCAAGTCCATGGGATTTCATCCAGTGCATGAAGATGTAAAAAGACAATACACATCCACACATTTGCTTTAGGGTTCTTTTTGGTCTTTTCTGTCTTTTTGTTTTAAATGGTTCGTTGTACTTGCACACCAGTCAACTTAAAATGGAAGAGATGTGAATAGAAAGCAATGACAGTTCTCATTACTTCATATTAGTGTATTTCCCAGAAGTAATCTGTAATCACTGTTGGGGAATGATGATCAATCTCCTATAATAATAACACAGCCTTAAGAAAATGAAAGAACAACAACTTATTTAAGTATGCTGGACCATATTAAAAGTCATTTACACCTGTATTGTGTGTTTTGACTTGCCTGATAAACACACACATATACACACACACAACAAATGCACACCATCTGTTTGTGTTTGTGTCATTTCTGTCTGCTTCATGTGTGCCGCCTCTGAATGCTAGCCATGTCAGTCGCAGTTAGCCTTGTCTGTGCCTCTATATTTACCCCTCCTGTGTCCTGCTCTGCCTCCTCTGCTCCCCCTCTATCCCTCTAGTGACTAGTGGGTTGCTCAGAGTTGGTCCCGGGCCTCATGTGTCACCACAGCTTCCATCACCCGCTGCCTCTCTGCCACACCACACTCTCTGGCAACCGCGCTCTGCCCTACAGCCATACAATCACGTACACATACATGCATGCACACACACTTGCTAACACACAAGCACACCCTGCAAGTCCCCTCATTCTCTCCTCTTAACATATGTGACATGTCCCCTGCTGACATGCCATTGGATTAGGAAGCTTTGATTGACAGGCGCTCTCCTATAGTGACAGCTACTGCTGCTGGGCCCACAGGCGGAGGGAAGAATGGGGAGAGGTAGTGGGGGTGGTAAAGGGAGGGAGAGGATGAACAGATGAGCGACGTTGAGGTGCGTCCGTCACTAATCTCTCTTGCTCCTCTCTGATATGCCTCCCTCCCTCTTTTTCTGACTAAACCTCAGCCCTCCAATCCACTCCACACCTCCCCTTTTCCACTCTCCTCTCCACTGTATGAGAGACCTTTAATTCGATGACTCGCCTTTGTCATGGAGCGTTAATCCACAGGCTGCTGTGACCCTGCTTGCTGTCAGATTCCGGCTAAAATGAACCTTTTCTAGCCGTCAAGTCGTCGGGAAGGGGTAGCAGGTGGGAGATGTGTTTTGACAGGAGGCATGTGTGTGAGCACACACTTGCCGGTTTGCTTTAGCACATTTTATTAAGCCCCTGCTCTGTTGGTTTGTTAAAGGAAAAGGACGGGGGGGTGGGGGGGGGGATAGAAACATGTTAGAGTTGGATCAGTGAACATGCAAGCAAGTTCATCTGTAGATGGGAAATAACACCCTGTAGGGACAAACAAAATTAAGTAGTAAAGAAATGACATCCTTAGTATTTGTAGTTAACAAAAAGGATAGGAAATTAACTTTAAATTGAGGTATTGGTAAGTTTTATTGATTAGACTAAGGCATAGAGAGACAAATAAGTTATGTAAAGAAGGATTAAACATGAACATTCAGTGTTAATTGCCTGCCATAAAATGTGCTGTAAGTATGGGGCTTCTACTAATGTCAGTTTTCCTTTTCAGTTAATATGCTCATTATTTTCCTGATAAATTACTTATACAAACCCATAAAATAAACAAAAGATGCAAATTCTCACAATTTAGAAGCTGCAACCTGATTTCTTTTGGGGGGGGAATTACTGAAATGAATGATCGAGTATCAAAATTTTCTGATCATTAAAATGATTCTAATGATCTGTTATGGACTATAAGTCCCCTGATGTATGGCTTTATAGCATTATGTAAGAGTTTTATAAATTCATCTGAAGTTAGTTTATAGGAAGCTCTGGTGTTCAGTATGTCTTAGAGCATAAGCCGTTTGACATATCTCGGTGAGATGCTTTGCTCAGATTTAATTCTGTCAGATTTGATTTGGGGCCTTCTTCGAAGGGTATGCATTTACCTTATAGCTATTGGCAGCCGGTACGCTTTTGAGTATGCCAGGGCAGATTTGTTGAATGTGCAGTGGGGTATTTTTAATATGATTTGCGTTGTGATCAAATGGTAGTTTAGCACTCCAGTCTTGGGCTTGCCTGCAGAGGAGCTTGGGTAAATAGAACTGTTTCATCAATTAAACACTCGTTTTTGATGGACAGGTGGAGAAAAACAAGTTTATTTGCACAAACACTTTTAGTGTTGGTAACACAAACACTTTTTGTGTGTGTGTGTATTGGTCTTAATTCTTTTGAGGGCCTCCAAATTATGTAATAAGTGTATTCCTTCTGCTGGTATAAAACATAATTAATTTGTCAATAATGTCATTTTTCAACAATGTACAGTAGTTATATTTTTACACATCTGCTTACTGGTCTGTTTAGCCCCCTTTTCCCTTCTTTTTTTGTAATCTGAAATAAAAAGTGAGATAATTAAATAAATAATAACACATTTGATGAAGCCAAAAAAGTACAGTAAGTGCCAGTTGAAATGCTTTTGCTCCTACTTCATTCTGATCTGATTTGTAGTTCTGTTAACAGCTGTCAGAGCCAACTTGCGTGCCGTTTTGTCTTCGTTTTTGGGGAGAATAAGAGAGTAAAAAGGGACAGAAGGAGTTCTCCCTGAGCAGCTAGTATGATTGTGTGAAAGATCAGTGTATCTTGCTGGACCATGATCCCTTCTGAAATTTGACCCTCATTTAGAGAATCAATATCTATTTATAATCAAACTATCTAAAGAATAATATTAACCAAATGTGGCTCACATGCCAAATGCTTTACCTAAACTTTTATTTTAGGAGTATAAGGCAATCTGCTTGCCATGTCCTTTAATTGTTTAGACAGTACAGTGTCCTATTTGTGTCATCTAGGTCAATAAGTGTGTTGTCTGTGTGTTTGTGTCGGCATGTGCGCATCTGTTTGTTTATCCTTGATATGTTGGGTGGATAGATGTGTTGATGATAGTATTCCTCCAAAGAAATGGTGAGAGAGAGATGGAGACAGCTAGAGAGAAGACGGTCGTTGGCTGACTGCCCTCCCTAGGGGGCTGGTGGAAGGATGAAGGGGCATCTAGGAAAGACATTCTGTCTGGTCTTGTCAGAGTTTGGCCAGTACTTGGCTACATGTCACTCCTGGCCCATCTAACACACAAACACACGCTTCGCGCTCTGTCTCACATCACCCTTCTTTTCAGATCACCCTCTGTCTCCCACCAGTGACCCAACCCAGGCAGAAACTGAGAGACAAACACTAGGTTATTTATCATCAGCAAGGACCGTGGCCAGCTACAGAGGGGAAACAGAGCAAGGACAAAAATTGCACAACCAAATTGGGGATGTAGTTGCATTCACCACAGTTAGAGTTTGGTAGTTGAAATACAGGATGCTCACAAAAATTAGGGTTAGTGGATCTGCAGTAGTGCTTATCTATATTGTTTATCATGCAGGTAACAAATGAAAGAAACATAAAACCTGCATAATTACTTTATAAGAAGTAGGAAGATGATTTAAATTGATTCAGCAAGCACATAACATGCTAGTTCATTTCACAAAATGATCTTAAAAAGATTGAATGTCAAACCCTGACATCACAGTTTCCTAGGGCAGTTTGGTATTTATTACTTTAATTTCATGGGTTTTCCCAGATGTTGAGAGAATTCAGAAAGAAGTGTTTTGCTTCCTTCCTTCGACAGCATGGTAAACTTCAGTGCTTTGATGAAGATTGTTTGAGAAATCTCATCACAATCAGTGCGGCAGCCCAGGGCAGAAACATGCCAACAAAAGAGAAATCTAACTTTTAATCATAATTCAAACACGCTCGCTGCATTAATTCTTGCCTCTGCTTAGCTGTGTTTATATTTTTATTTTTGTCTGTGTGTGTTGCATGGATGCAGCATATCCGAGGGTGCTGCTGAATGGTAATGGTTGTGGCACCGTGGGTGCGGGTGGGGTTTAGGCCTTGCGGTCTCAGTGCTGATGGTGGCGTAGTGGTGGCATTTGTCAGCTTGCCTCTTCCGCTTGGTTTCCAGATTGACGTCCTGTTTCTTGGCCCTGTTCTGTGGCGGGCTAAAGGTTCCCCACTGAAAAGGTCAGACACTTACTACAGTTTGCTTAACAGCATGTCACAGTTCCTCTAAGGGGGCACCAGCACACAACACAACAAGCCTGGCCACAGGATATACTCCTAGGCTCATCACTTTCACACACATGCATGTGGAGAGTTAAAAGATTGGGTTCTTGTGCTTATGTGTAGAGGTTTGTGTGTGTGTGTGTTTTTATACATATGTCATTCAGTAACCCAAACTAAGCCTTATGTATACAAATTACGTTGTTAATTAAATATATTTGCCTTTTCCCCCATAATTCTAAGGTGCTGCCAAATGGGAATAGCAAGACATTCTGAAAATGAAGATCATCACATTTAGATTTTAATGTTTGTGGTTTTGTAAACAACCGAGAGCTTTTTTGTTTAAATTCAACTCAATATTTTGAGTTTTACCAAGTAAACTTATTAGACCACACATGTAAACCTAGATATAAATGATACAGAAATCACTTAATAAATAAGTAGTGCCAACAACTACAGAGCAATCTACCGTGTGGATTGTTGTTTTTCAAAATGTTTGCTTTCAGAGTGTGACCTGTAGAGGTTGTGAGTTTTGTCAGTGTGCATGTACACATATGGGCACTGTTTATATAGTTTATTGTAATGGTGTGTGTGTGTGTGTGTGTGTGTGTGTGTGTGTGTGCGCGCGCGCGTGTACAGACCCTGGCTATTAACCGAGGGGAGAGTCTGAAGATTTTAACAGTGAAGGTGAACATTCCCGACAGGGTGAAGAATGACTTCACTAGGTGGTGCATCAACAACAGGTCAGCAATACAATAATAACACAAACACACACACAATTATTTGAGATTTAGTATTAAAGAGTTGTAGTGAATTGACACCTGATTGTTGTAGAAATTAAATTTTTTTGAAACAAGACAAAGGCTCCTCACTTTTATACAATCCATTCGTTGGTCCAGGTTTGTTAGAAATAATTAAGTGCACCAGAAACTCCAAGAATATTCAATGTCTTGCACAAATTGGGTGTTTTTTGATCTGTCAGGGATGTGTGGCATATTTTCACTTCAGATAGAGGGAATCAGTTTGCAAACTAGGGGAAGTCACATTTTCTTTTATAGATGGAAATGATCCACAGAAAAAAAAAAATCAGCTTTTCCCCCACTGTTTTAATGCAGGTGGAGGCCAAAGACGTTTGCAAGAGAAGAGCTTCATGCAATCATTAGGAATGCAGTAGAGGATTCTTTCAAAAGGCTTATTCTGCCTTTCCTCACCAGGAGTTACAGGTATTTTAAGCGTGACTGTTAATGTGTGTGACTTTTCTCCTTTTGATTTACACTGTGTCGCTATTTCCTCTTCTTCTTTCCCCATCCTCACCTATTTTTTTCTTCTCTTTTTCTTTATTTCTTTTAACCTGACCATACAACTAACCCCTACATCTCGCCGTCTCCACTCTTTTTGTTCATATCTTCACTCACTCCTCTGCCCATCTTTTCCCCATCTCTCTCTTGCATTCCCTCTGTTTAGGACCAAGCTGACGAGTGCTGCAGAGAAGGAGTCAATCGCCATGTTTGTGCGGAACCTCCGGCAGCGCCTGTTGCTGTGTCCAGTCAGGGGCTGCGTCATCATGGGGGTGGACCCTGGCTTTAGACATGGCTGTAAGCTGGCAGTTCTCTCTCCCACTGGTAAGGGACTACACGGTGTACACCCACTTTTGCATCCAATATAGTTTGAGTTATAATTCTTTATTCTCCATATATAAAATGATACTTATCTACTAGGTTGCATCTTTATTACAGTCTTTTTGAAAGCTCTTGACACCATAGTGCACACAATCTCGGGAGGGCATCTGAGTGTTGAAGTTGAATGATTGACAGGAATCACAGGTTTATCCTTTGACACTGTGTTTAAAAGGGGTAATATAAAGTACAGCTCATAGGCTTCAGATATGTTACTCTAACATGAATTAAAGCTTTACTTTTGCATACATACTTAGATCAGGGTCTCACTGATGCATCAGAACTATTGTCACAGATGTTCTAATAGTGTTTGCTTCTATCCATACATGTAATTGGTGGTTGTATTTTAATATATTGAATAAGTGTAATTACTTACGTTTTTAAGAACAGAACTATTGTATTTAACCAACAGTATTTTTATGTAATTGTAGTCACATATTCAAGGGTTATCTAACCTTCTTACACTATGCAAAATAAAGTTTCACTGCAAATTCATGGCTAATCTTGTCTAATCTAGTCTTTTACTAATGTCAAACCCACCTAGTACAGAAATACTGAAGAGTCAGACATCTCTTCATTGTGTTTCACAGTTTAAGTGATTAAGCTGTAATGAAGTCACAAATTCTGTGATGCCATGTAACCAGGCCACCACTGGACCTGTTATTACCGTCAAGGTGCATGTGCATGTCAGAGACTAGATGCCAGTTGGCATGACCCTGGTGGGTGGATTATGTGTGTGCATATCATGCATATGTGTGTTTATAGCATTGCTGCCTCCTTAGATAGCATACAGTAGAGAGACATTAGCTGATAGTATATAGTTTAGTCTGTTGAGCATCCTCTTGTCATAATACTTTACCAGCAACATTGTATTTTCTCTATATGTCCTTCTGTCTGTCTTGATCTCTCTGATCTCAGGTCAGATTCTCCATACTGATGTTGTGCACCTGCATAATTCAGGCCAGCACAAAGAAGCAGACAAACTGCGCCACCTTATGATTAAATACAGGTACTGTAACTTGTGTGTAAATAGTCTCTGTTCAAGTATACTTTTCAGCTGAATTAAATACAATGTAAGAAAATGTGGCAGTAATGGATAATGGCTGTGTTGTGTTAATTAATGTTTTAATTGCTGTAACTTTCCTGTTCCTAAAAACACAACTTCTCTGTCGTCAGATAGATCACTGAACATAATATTATAAACAGAAAAGAAAATGATGATCCTCACCTCATTTTTAAACCCTTATGGTTGCTTTCTTAATCCTCATTGTCTTTCTCCTCTTCCTCTTGTCCATTCTAGCTGTACCAGGGTTGTCATTGGCAATGGAACAGCATGTCGTGAGACTGAGTCCTTCTTTGCTGACCTCATCTCTAGGCGCTATTTTAACCCCCTGGACGTGTCCTACTGGTAAGGTCTTTTATCCTGGGAATGCTAGAACAGAATAGAAAGAAGTGGGTATAAAAAGTGGATGGATGGGTGAACCCTACTGTCCAGAGGACTGAATTCCATGGCATAATTTTATATTTATTGGTAACATTAGTTAATATTCAACATTTTGTGTGTTTCAGTAAAACAAACATTTCAAATCTTGTAAATATTCAATAGAGGTGTGAAAGGATGGAAAAGAGAGTGGGATAAATGGGGTTGTCAATGAAATCAGGAATGATGATGGATAAGAAATCATGGTCTCGGTATAGAAATGGTGAACATTAAGTGTGTGGTGAGAAAAGGGCAAGACAGTACAGGAGTTTAGCAATGTGAGAGAGTAAAGGACAGAAGAGAAAAATGTGTGGGAGCAAGAGAGCGGGGTCACAGATGGAGAGAAAGACAAATTGGATGTGTTCCTCAAGTGAATATTGTCTATTAAAGCCATCTGGACTTTGTTTCACTCGGGCCAATTAAAGAGACATTTTGTGGTCCACGTTGTGTCTGTAACCAGGCCCAGTCCACACTTCAGAATACAAGGGGACAGAACCTCGGTCCAAGCATAATAACCACTGGCCTCTCCTTGCTCCATGTCTTTCTCTCTCTGCTGAGTTCCATGTGTGTTTGTTGACATGAGGTTAGCATTGGGACCACAGCCTAGAATGATTCTGGGCTGTGTGGGAACGTATGTATGTCTGCATATGAGAGTTTTCTTCATGCACACTTCAGAGGTCATATCTTTGGTGTCATAGCCCACATTTTCTCTCTAAAGTTCCATTTTCTGTCTATTTGCAAGAAGAGAAACTTTCAAAGTTGGGCGTTTTATTAAGTTAACGTCCACTTGATTATTTTCCTTTTGAAAAGACTTTAGAGCAGAGCAATCCAGCCCAGTAAAATTTCACATCTTGATATAATGTCTCTCTTGTTCATTCTTTTACTGGAGCTAATGGCATTCACGCTTTTCACAACACGTAAGAATGTTGGACTTCTGTTTGATGTGGTGCTGGCTGAATGTCCTATATCACCTGATATGATTAACTGTATTTTTGCAGCACATACCACATGTGTAAATGGTCTGCCTTTTCCCTTAATAGGGTTTGTGGAATAAAGGCTTTTGAAAGTGCATGAACTTTGGAAGTGAAGAGAGATGGTATTTTGACGTTAGCCATAGAAGTGTGGTTGTTGTTATCCAGATGATATCGCCCTGGAGTCATCTGGTCTCATGCCTCACTTTGGTTTCTTTGGACCGTGGATGATGTAGGCTCAGAAACATAGATGTTAAAGTGGAGTCTGTGTATGTCTGTATATAAATGTACATACACGCTGTTGCTTCTCTTCTGTGCCCTCCTTCTTTCTCTATCTTCTGTCTCATTCTGTTTATTCTTATCTTCACTCCTCTTCTCTGTTCTTTCCCTCCTTCCTCACCACTGTCTTTGTTTCCATCATCTGTCCTCTTCAGACATTTCCTTCATAAAAGCTTGAAAAAAAGCTTGCTTTTGAAATGCCCTGCAAAGTCCAAATGCTGGTCTTTCAGTAACAACTGCCATTACTTTCTACCTTAAAATGTCTTCACTGTGATGATGCATTTGTACCTGGATATTTAAATCATCATAGTAGCTAAAATGCACCTATAACAACCTTTGGTCAGTATGTGGTGAAAAGCAAATATTAATGTAACATGTCAAATTTAAACACTACCCTCAATCATCTCCAGCACTGGTATATCGCTTTCCAACTTAAGGCAAATCACTCCTGCTGGTATACATGGTGTAGTTGTCCTGCCTACACAATTTCATATATTCTTGATCACTCAAATTTCTAACAGTGATTAATCGAGCACAGATTAATCATTAACATCCCAAATAACAATGAACCCAAACACAGAGAGTTTATGTTGTCAAGTATTCAACAGCAGTTTTGGAGGTGGTAATTATTCTGCGTTGTAGGAGTGGCACATGTCTGTGCTGCTGTTAAATAAGTAAAGTGTGACTTCTTAAAAATGTGTGAATGTAATGTCTAATGTGCCTGTTCTGACCAAAATATCCCTTGATAGATGATGCTGGGAGGGCAGGGAAAGATGACTGGCCTCAAGGAGTGACGGTTTTTGCTAACTATGAGGGTCTTACTCCCCTGCTGACTGACCCACGGCTGACCCTGACTTGCCATTAGTGAAACCTCATTACATCGGCAACAAGGACGATGGCAATGACGGAGAATAGCTATGTAGCATCAGGAACAGCAAGGGGTCCTAATGCCTGCTGTGAATGTCCCCAGTATAGTTAATTGACCTAGTTTCTTGTATACTTTGTGACTTTTCTATATGTGTGAGCGTTTGTTGGTATAAGCCAACAAACGCTCACAGTTTTTGATCGACAGTTGTAAAAAGTCTTTCAGACAGCCCATGTATAGGAAGCTGGCTCCGTCATGGAGGTGGAAAACCACCATCCCGCACAGCAACCTTACACTGTACAGACAAACAATTCCAGAGCTAAATACTGTTCTGTCTGTTTGAGTGTATTTACAGAGTCACTGACTCTTTCCATCTCTACCTTACCATCTGCGTTTCTTTGGCTTTCTTTCGTTTTTTTATGCTTTCCTTTTGTCATCCTCAGCTACTGGAAGCAGCTGTGCACTAAGAAAGATGTATTCTGGCTCAAAAGCAAATATCCACGAAAATATGTGTGTGAAATAGAGAGTGAGCGCAAGAGAGAGAATATATATTGGCTGCAGTGTGTTATCGTCCAGACTAGAGAACAGTTTTGATTTTATGATGACATTGTTACCTTGTTAGGTAGGATCATTAAAATGTGACATTGCTGTTGTTAAAAGTTTTTATTTTTTATTTTTGGCAGAAGCACTGTTAGGTGTATTTTAATGGCTGTGGTTTATATGGTTTTTGTGTGTGTCTGTACCTACAATACAAGTACATGTGTATAGTAATACAGACCCTCCTTTCCTTTCCTTTTCTCTCCTATCAGCCTTGAAAGTGCAGTAGTTCATTAAAGACCTAAGCCTCATTTGCACCATCTGCTTCCTGTCTCCCTGTGAGCCTTCATTGTGTCACCACCCCCACCCTTCTCCATCCTTTCTTCTCCACCCGCCTGTCTCTCTCTCTCTCTCGCTGTCCTTCTGCCTCAGCGCTCAGCTGGAATGACAGCCAGAAATGGCAGCCGGCGGGACATCCTTACTTTTACGTATGTGTGCGGTTTTCATTGCCTTAGTCCTGTTTAAATAGACTCATTGTACTCACTGAGTCACCTCTTCCATAATTTGTAAGGAGTGTGGCCTTTTCTTTATGTGTATGTCTAAGTAGTGTCGTTTAGGTGGAAGAATAAGTGTGAATGTGTATAAAAGGCCGGCCAGCGTGTGTCCAGCTGGATCATTTATCCAAATCTGTCTCCTTCTTACATAAATACAATATATGTTGCAAAAGGTTGATACAATTACTGGTATTCTTTCTTTATTTTGTAAAAAAACGATTAATCGTGCCGATACCTGGTATTTTGAGATAATATACTGTGGATAATCTGCATCGGCCTGATGCACTCAAGTGGCCGATATATCGTCCTAAATGACAGCAGATCTAATCTAACACCATTACTGGCTAGCGTTAAATATATATTGTTATACTGTAGTTAATTATGCAGTTGAAGGACGTCGCTTCTGACAAACTGTATCCCACTGTCTTTCTTAAACAATTTGAAATCTACAGCATAGCATTTTCTATTCATTTAATAAAAAAATCCATCTAAAACAACACGTTACTGGTTAAGATAACCATGTATGTTAGATTGGACTGGAATAGTGGAATTATACATGACTTTTCTCTGTTTTGATATCATTATGTATCGGCCATTGGACACCCTGCTCTCTAAATATCGGCATCTTAACTAGATAATCATTCCTTAATTTGATTGAATGTAATGATTTATAGGCGTTTTTTACTGAGGCTTGGACTCCTCACCGAATATTCTTCTTGAAAAAGCCAAGACTTCGGATAATATATTTTCTGCTCCATTTTGTAAATAAATATTCTTTTTCTCCACTTACATTTAATCCTTTTATATCCAAAAAAGTACAAAGTACAAAAGAGTATTTGGTATCTAGCATGTAACTTGAAGGTAAATCAAACAAGAAAGTAACATAATCAAAACATTTTACATGGCCATTTTCAAGCAAAAAAAGTAGTTTACTGCATGTACAGTAAAATATAGATAACATGAAACACTTATTTTTATATTAAATGGGTGAGCAAAACCAGTGTTAATCACATCATAAGTAAGGAATAAATCACCAGAATCGACTCTTCCTACCCCATTAGATTTACAACAAAGTGACCTTACATGATTAAGCGTGAACAATGCGTCTCTGGATGACCAGCATCCTGCAGGACATTATACAGCATGAGGTATGATTAAGCTGACAAGGTTTGTCTGTGCCTGTGATGGCCCCCACTGAATGGACATTAGGCAATTTGCCATACAGCTGTGTCCCAATAATTTAAAGACCTCCTGCTGGACGTCAGTTTGTGACATATTAGTTTAGAAAACAAACTCCACTGCTCTGACTTCAGTTAATTCTTTTCTAGGTTGTAAATGGCTAATAAGTATGTACAAATATGTCTTCTGATTATTAGCTGCTTGGTTTTGGCTGGCACACTGTGTGTGTGTGTGTGTGTGTGTGTGTGTGTGTGTGTGTGTGTTCGTGTGTGTTCGTGTGTGTTCGTGTGTGTTCGTGTGTTCGTGTTCTTTCTGGCTCCTTGACAGGCCAATGCAGCATGACCTTGTCTGTCATTGTGTTTTAGCACTGACTGGTAGAGCATGCAGGCTTTGTCAAAGCTCATAAGAGTGCTCTGCACCAGCCAGGCAGATGTCTGCATGGGACTGTGTGTGTGGTTTGCTGTGTTTTACTTGGTGACGCGCAGTGGTCTGTGTCAGCATCATCAGCTGGTTGAGAAAGCACACACATACACCACTGTGTGT